TATATATATATATATATATATATATATATTTCTATTTAGCTCTGTTGAGCGAGGTACGAAACCGATTAGCTGGTCCGTTTTTGATTTTTTACTTTTTTATTATCATGAGTGGTAATAATAAAACTAATTTTATTATTATATATATATATATATATATATATATATATATATTATATATATATATATATTTTATTATATTTTTATATTTATTTTTTATATTTATTTTATATATATTTTATATATATTTTATATATATTTATATCTTATATATATATTTATATATTTATATATATATATATATTTATATATATATTTTTTATATATATATATTTCATATATTTTATTATATATTTTATATATATTTTATATATTTTTATATATATATATATATTTTATATATTTTTATATATATATTTCATATATTTTTATTATATATTTTATATATATTTTTTATATATATTTTATATATATTTTTATTATATTATATATATATATATATTTTATATATATGTTATATATATTGAAAAATGCTGTCTTCCATAGTCAAAGATATTTTACTTAATGCAGCTTGTTTCTTTCGTATAATAACAGTTCCGAGTATGTTGCGTCTTTCCTTGCAGTGAGAGCTATATAGTACTTTGACTTTATCTATTATTATTTGTCTATTTTTAATAGTTGTCTTTTGATTTCTTGTAAAGTGTATGACACGCGCAGACACATACGGGGTGCGATGGATAAATTTTCGTCTAAAGGACGCCAAAATGAAAAAACACTGGCATCTCATTTTAACACATATAAAGGGAGCGATGGATAAATTGTCGTCTAAATAACGCATAAATGAAAATAACACTGGCATCTCATTTTAACAGATATAAAGGGAGCGATGGATAAATTGTCGTCTAAATAACGCAAAAATGAAAATAACACTGGCATCTCATTTTAACAGATATAAAGGGAGCGATGGATAAATTGTCGTCTAAATAACTCAAAAATGAAAATAACGGCATGGATAAAAGGAGCGATGGATAAATTGTTTAAATAACGCAAAAATGAAAATAACACTGGCATCTCATTTTAACAGATATAAAGGAGCGATGGATAAATTGTCGTCTAAATAACGCATAAATGAAAATAACACTGGCATCTCATTTTAATATAAAGGGAGCGATGGATAAATTGTCGTCTAAATAACGCATAAATGAAAATAATACTGGCATCTCATTTTAACAAATATATTTACCAAAATTACACAAAAATATCTTGAAATACTAAAGAGTAAATTTTTTCAAATCATTCGCCATTGGCTTCAACCACGGCCTCCAGACAACTTCGGAATCTCCTGCATCTCTTTTGGACGGTCTCCTTGTTTAAGTTAGTGAATGCTGCCATAATCCTTTCCTTCATCTTTGGTGCTAGAAGAAGTTTTGTTAGTCTCTCGCTCACCCATAATAATCAAGGGATTTGCAGTCTGAGGAGTGACGGGGTCGGAGAAATGCTCATGACTAGATTTTCCCGTTTGTGTGGCATGGTGCATAGTCCTGTTGTCAGACATATGGACTTCCAGCAGCCACACTCTTGACCCAGGACAGCACTCTTTTCTCAAGGCACTTGATATAGGCCTCCGTGTTGAGTCTGATGCCTTGTGGAAAGATGGAGACATAACGTTGCTATCAAAAGTTATTATTAGGTTGGTGCAAAAATAATGACGTAATAATGTTGTTTTTTGACGTATTTTTTAACGTTAAAAAACGACATTCTTACGTCATTATTTTTGCACCAACCTAATACTACAAACATCTTCGAAATCACCATTAGCCTTCTCCAACTCTTTCTGAATCTTCTGCACTGTCCTAAGATTGATACACAAACACTCTGAAATGTTCGGATTAGAGCTTCCTACACAAATGCCAAGCAGTACTTCATGCCGTTTCCAAGTTTCTGGCGTAGTGAATTGAGTTTTGGTACTCTTCTTCTCACAGACGGAGCCAAATTGACTCTATCTATAAAATGAATATAGCGACAATTTACATATCGCATATCAACAACAACATGTCCTTAGCAACTGGAAGAATTTAGAGAACGCTATTTTTATACTAACTGAAAATTACGTCAATTACAGTCACCTGTGGAGATATTGTTTTTATTGGTGTGTTGACGGATTCAACCATTTTCTTTTGATTTCTTGATACTGTTCTGTACGTTTGTTTGGGAGAGTAGTAATTCTGTCAAGAAAGGTGAAATAGGGAAAAAGCCTGGGCGTAGATTAAGATTTAATGTTTTGTTATTATTAGTTACTTTGTTTAAATAAATACATTTCGTTTCGCCTTGAAAAAGTCCACATTGGACGAAACGCGTTGGCAACTATTACAGTTTTCCTATTGTCTTTTATATTTATAAATATTGTCTTTTTCTACTGATTAACTTGAGAAATTTTTTCTTTATATATATATATATATATATATATATATATATTAAGACACAGAGTGTGTTGAAACAAAATGGCTATTTTTGTATTTTTATAACATACTATATATATATATATATATATATATATATATATATATATATACATATGAAAATTTCTCTGATTTAACTAGTAGAGAAGACAATATTTATGAATAAAAAAAAACAATAGGAAAATAATTGTTGACGCGTTTCGTCCAATGTGGACTTTATCAAAAGCAAAATATGAAAATGAAATTAATTGAACAAAGTAACTAATAAAAACGAAAACAGAATGTACCTAGTAACTGGAATGTAGAGAAAAGCTATTTTCATATTTTTTAACTGAAAAATAAAGTCAGTATTTGTCACGTGTGGAGAATATTGTCATTATATCTGTGTTGATGTATTCAACCATTTTCTTTTGATTTTATGAAACTGTTGTGTATATTTGTTTGTAAGAGCATTAATTTTGTTAAGAAAGGTGAAATGGGGAAAAAACCTGGGCATCGATTAATATTTGGGTAATTTTCTATGGCGGCACTCTCCAGAATTTTCCTTCTGAGGGAGTTATATTCTTTTTTTATGAGTGTAGCATTTTTAAAATCAAAACTCCACATTGGACGAAACGCGTCAGCAATTAACAGTTTTCCTATTGTCATTTTTATTCATATATATATATATATATATATATATATATATATATATATATATAATTATTAAATATAACAGTTAATGAATGTCTATTATGTCTGATCATGAGCCGTTCTAATGTTCGAATATTTGCTTTAATTTCTGGTGGAATAAAGACAAAAATTGTCCAACATTTGGATATTTTTTCTCACAGACGGAGCAAAATTAACTCTATCTATAAAATGAATATAGCCACAATTTACATATCGCATATCCCTGAATATGTATATATGTGTGGGTGTATTTAGACAGCATATCTTCATTCAAACACATTTCATTAAATAATATAGACATAGTGTGTCTAGTTATTTTTAGTCAGATACTTTCCAGTTCTCAAATCGATCTGTTGATGTTGAGATTAAATTTATCGAAGAAGGCGCTGTTTATTTTTCCAGAGTAGATCTTTTCCAATATCATCATGGCTACCAATCACGTGACACCACATGTACTGCAAGAGATGTGGTGTCTCTTGGGCAAGGTAGACTGACGGAGCCCATGCGCTCTCCAAATCGGTTTAAATTCAGAGTATCTCCCCTCTCGATCTATCTATCTATCTATCTATCTATCTATCTATCTATCTATCTATCTATCTATTCGATTCATATATCTCTCTATATATGTAATTCTCTACTTATCTATCTATCTATCTATCTATCTATCTATCTATCTATCTATCTATCTATCTATCTATAGCGATAGATAGATAGATAAGAGAATTACACAGATATATAAGAAGACAATTATATAGATAGATAGATAGACAGATAGATAAAAAAGAATTACAAAGATAGAGAGAGAAAGAGAGAGAGTGCATATGAGATACAGAATTCCCTGCTCATCTATATAACTATAGATAAAGAAAATTAGACATACAGATAGATAGACCATCTATCTGAGAGATACAGAGGAAGTGAAAAGAGATAGATAGATAGATAGATAGATAGATAGATAGATATAGAGACAATTATAAGATAGATGAGAATTACATAGAGAGATATATAAGAATAGAATTCAACAGATAGATAAATAGATAGATAAAAGATAGAGATGGGAAATAGATGAGAGAGAATTAGATAGATAGATAGATAGATAGATAGATGATAGATAAGACAATTACGTAGATAGATGAGAAGAGAATTACATAGAGAGAGATATATAAGAATAGAATTCAATAGATAGATAGATAAAGGAGAGATGGAAATAGATGAGAGAGAATTAGATAGATAGATAGATAGATAGATAGATAGATAGATAGATAGATAGATAAGACAATTACGTAGATAGATGAGAAGAGAATTACATAGAGAGAGATATATAAGAATAGAATTCAATAGATAGATAGATAGATAGATAAAGCGAGAGATGGGAAATAGATGAGTAGAGAATTAGATAGATAGATAGATAGATAGATAGATTTTTTATAGACTGATTATATTTTACCTGTTATCAATCTTTTGCACGTTATTTGAAGCCAGGAAATTTTTTTTGAGAATGTAAGACGTTTTGGGAGATTTTAAAGATTTACTGATATTAGTCCTACGAATTAATCCCTAGTTGGAAGAAGACCTTGATTCATAGCTTTCCAAAGAGTCTTTGCGCTTAAATGAATATGACTGGTCCGGCTGTTTAAAGTTTTCCTTCCGCCTAAGGCTATAGAACTAGGTCTGTTCTATTAATTTACCAAGAAGAAGACGATTCATACATTTCCCAACGGTATTAGTGCGTAAGTGAATGTAGCTGGAATTCGAACTCGGCTCGTCGATTCTTCAATCCGAGCCACTATCCATTAGTCCACTTACAAACTTGTAAGTATTTGTTACATATTAATATAGAATGATTTTACATCTTTAAATTGTTTTATCTAATAAAATTCATCTATCTATATAGCTATCTATCTTAGTCTCTCTCTCTCTCTCTCTCTCTCTCTCTATATATATATATATATATATATATATATATATAAGGGCTCATTCTTATACACCAGCACATATTTGATTATAGTAGTGATTTTTTATAGAACCAACCACATTTTTTGAAGAGCCGGATATATATATATATATATATATATATATATATATATATATATATATATATATATGTATGTATCCTCTTCATCTCCCTCCAGCTATGGGGTCAATAGCAGGACAGACTGGGTTCTATAGCCTTGGATGGCAACTGGTCTAGGAGAAGGACAACTCTGAATTCAAAACCTGCGGAGGGTCGTTTGGGAACCTTGGGCATGCATTCAGTGCACCAGGTTTCTGTATTCGTCCCTCCAAAAGTGTTTGATTATAGTATCACTATAAACAAATCTCATGTGCCGGTGTTTTGTCGGTTTCCTGGAACTTATCGGCCTGACCCTCATACGTTTGGAGAGTCGATTATATATGTATATATATATATATATATATAAATAACATATAACACGCAGATATATATATATCTATCTATCTATCTATCTATCTATCTATCTATCTATCCAGCTATATCTCTCTATATATGTAATTCTCTACTAAAATCTATCATATTCATTCATTCATCTATCTATAGCGATAGATAGATAGATAAGAGAACAGACTAAGAAGACAATTATATAGATAGATAGATAGACAGATAGATAAAAAAGAATTACAAAGATAGAGAGAGAAAGAGAGAGAGAGTGCATATGAGATACAGAATTCCCTGCTCATCTATATAACTATAGATAAAAAGAGAATTAGACATACAGATAGATAGACCAAGCGAGAGAAAGAGAGAGATACAGAGGAAGTGAAAGAGATAGATAGATAGATAGATAGATAGATAGATAAGACAATTACGTAGATAGATGAGAAGAGAATTACATAGAGAGATATATAAGAATAGGAATTCAATGAATAGATAGATAGATAGATAAAGCGAGAGATGGGAAATAGATGAGTAGAGAATTAGATAGATAGATAGATAGATAGATAGATAGATAGATAAGACAATTACGTAGATAGATGAGAAGAGAATTACATAGAGAGAGATATATAAGAATAGAATTCAATAGATAATAGATAGATAGATAAAAGCGAGAGATGGGAAATAGATGAGTGAGAATTAGATAGATGTCGGTTTAGATAGATAGATTTTTTATAGACTGATTATATTTTACCTGTTATCAGTCTTTTGCACGTTATTTGAAGCCAGTCGAACGAGAATGTAAGACGTTTTGGGAGATTTTAAAGATTTACTGATATTAGTCCTACGAATTAATCCCTAGTTGGAAGAAGACCTTGATTCATAGCTTTCAAAAGAGTCTTTGCGCTTAAATGAATATGACTGGTCCGGCTGTTTAAAGTTTTCCTTCCGCCTAAGGCTATAGAACTAGGTCTGTTCTATTAATTTACCAAGAAGAAGACGATTCATATTAGTGCGTAAGTGAATGTAGCTGGAATTCGAACTCGGCTCGTCGATTCTTCAATCCGAAATCCATTAGTCCAACACAAACTTGAAGTATTTAACAATATAGAATGATTTTACATCTTTAAATTGTTTTATCTAATAAAATTCATCTATCTCTCTCTCTCTATATATATATATATATATATATATATATATATATATATATATATATATGGTAGTATGGACTCTCCTTTGTTTTTTCGACGTATGGGGTCAAGCGGCTCATTCTTAGGAACCGGCAGCCCGACACCAGCACACATGATTTGATTATAGTAGTGAAGTTTTGCGCAGAACCAACCACATTTTTGAAGAGCCGGATATATATATATATATATATATATATATATATATATATATATATATATATATATATATAATATCCTCTTCATCTCCTCCAGCTATGGGTAAAATAGCTGGGTTCTATAGCCTTGGATGGCAACTGGTCTAGGAGAAGGACAACTCTGAATTCAAAACCTGCGGAGGGTCTTTGGGAACCTTGTGGCATGCATTCAGTGCACCAGGTTTCTGTATTCGTCCCTCTGGTTGGTCCTGCACAAGGCCTTCATCACTATAAACAAATCTCATGTGCCGGTGTCTGTCGGTTTCCTGGGGACTTATCGGCCTGACCCTCATACGTCGAACGCGACGGAGAGTCGATTATCTATGTTGTATATATATATATATATATAGGAAAGTGAACATTGAAGTCAACACGCAGAATTCCTTCTCCTAGCTTTATCTATCTATCTATCTATCTATCTATCTATCTATCTATCTAATTCTATTCTTATATATTTCTCTTTCCATGGACTTCTCTTCTTATTTATCTACGTAATTCTCTTATCTATCTATCTATCTATCTATCTATCTATCTATCTATCTATCCTCTATCTATCTATCTATCTATCTATCTATCTATCTATCTATCTATCTATCTATCTATCTATCTAATTCCCTTCTTATCTATAGTTATATAGATGAGAAGGGAATTCTGCATCTCATCTCTCTCTCTTTAATAATTTTTTATCTATCTATCTATCTATCTATCTATCTATCTATCTATCTATCTATCTATCTATCTATCTAATTCTCTTCTTAGGTATCTCTCCTTATCTAAATCTCTTCTTATCTCTCTCTCTCTAACGCTCTACTTAATTCTCTTCTCATCTATTTCTCTAACTCTCTCTCTCTCTCTATTTTTCTATCTATCTAGTTTTCTTCTTATGCATCTCTCCTTATCTAATTCTTTTAACGACTTATCTATCTATCTATCTATCTATCTATCTATCTATCTAATCTATTATATTCTATTCGTCTCTATCACGGAAATTCATACGTGCCAATTATTTTCATTTAGCTGAATTGTTTTCCTTTTTTTGCAATTTGTAATTAACATTCTTCTCCACATCATTATTAGTTAACATTTGATCTTTTCGTCAAACAAACGTGACTTAATGGAAACCGAAAGTGAAAGTAACAAAACTATTTGACAACTGTTATTGTCGAAAGTGAGTTTAATGTGTCATTTTCGCCGGCGAGTCGTCTTGTTGAATCCTTCCAATCCAGAAAGGATTAAATCGAGATCGAGTCATTGTGGTATTTATTAAGATGACATCGTGCCCTCAAGATGTCGTCTTTCCCAAACGTTGTCGCCCTGCAGCAGATGGCGTTTACGACTCGTTGGCGTATGAATTTATTGTTTCCAATGGCTTCGGTACGGATGATCCCATCACAATAAAAACGGGAGGACATTTCGCTATTTTTGCCCAAGTCGAGTGGCCGGCCAAGACAGGTGGTTGAGACTCTTGTTTTCCAGAGCGGATTCGGCGAAATCGTTCGCGGCATGGATAGAAACATAAGGACGGGAAACAGATCGAAATGAATACGAAATTAGAAGCCCATAGTAAACAAAGCCGACAGAGATAAAAATAAAATGAACAAATTGTGAATAAATAAGAAGAAAACATCGTAACTCGCGAGAGGACTGAATGGACAAAGATGACCAAACTATACCAGCGAAAGTATTAAAATGAAGGCTTTAGATACGTGCCAAATTTGGAGAGGGTTATTTCCATAAACGATTTATGGATGTGAACCCTATTCAATAAGGGTACAAAAAAAAAGGAGATAATCTGTGCTTGCAGATAATTTCCACAGAGCCTTGTGTTCGATTTTCACTTATTGTACCTTAAAGAAATGGCTGAAATTTTTTTAGATATATAAAGAGGAGAGAAGGCTCGGAAAATGTAACATTCACAAGACGTGCATAAAAGACAGTAGACGAAAGTGAAAACGAACAGTGACATAATGAGTCTAAAGAAAGTAGAGATAAAAAAAATGATTTCTCGCATGGCGAGTCATCCTTATACAGTAAGAGTGATCCTCTCTCTGTGTCTATCTACATATCTATATATATATATATATATATATATATATATATATGTTATTATTATTATTATTATTATTATTATTAACAGAAATCTTATAAGTATAAGAAACCATAGTAGCTCGGAAAACCTTCGGTGTATTGATTTGCAAATAAACAAGCCAATACCAAAGGGAAAAAAAAGTATAAAAAGAGAAAGAACCAAGAACATGTACGTTAACCGAAAATAATCGTCCAACATACGAGCTCAAGGCCCAAAGAAAGAAAACCCCATGCGAGTACCCAAAATAACTAAATAAAGAGCTCAATACAATGAGTAGCCGGCTTTTCCTGACGACTCGCTTCGGTGAAACCGTGGTATGTTTCTCTGGATCTCTAGGTTTAACTATATATATATATATATATATATATATATATATATATATATATATAATATATTATAAATGTAAAAGACAATAGGAAAGCTGTAATAGTAGCCGACGCGTTTCGTCCGATGTGGACTTTTTCAAGGCAAAAACGAAATGAATTTCTTTAAACAAAGTAACTAATAATAACAAAAACAAAATGTCCTTAGCAATTTGAAGAATTTAGAGAACGCCATTTTCATATTGTTAACTGAAAATTATGTGAATTACTATCACGTGTGGAGATATTGTTATTATTGCTGTGTTGACGGATTCAACCATTTTCTTTTGATTTCTTGATACTGTTCTGTATGTTTGTTTGGGAGAGGAGTAATTCTGTTAAGAAAAGAGAAATAAGGAAAAAGCCTGGGCGTAGATTAATATTTAATGTTTTGTTATTTAAATAAATTCATTTCGTTTTATGCCTAGAAAATGTCCACATCGGACGATACGCGTCGGCAACTATTACAGTTTTCCTATTGTCTTTTATAGTTATATATATATATATATATATATATATATATATATATATATATATATATATAGTTAAACCTAGAGAACCAAGGTTTCACCTAAGCGGATCGTCAGGAAAAGCCCGCTACTCATTGTATTGAGCACTTTATTTAGTTATTTGGGGTACTTGCCTCGTTTTTTTTTTCTTTTGGGCCTTGAACTTCGAAGCTGGATGATTATTTTCGGTTAACATACATGTTCTTGGTTCTTTCTTTCTTCATATATATATATATATATATATATTTGGTTGGATAGATGTGAGTTTGTGACCCTGGGTTTCACGCTTTAGCGATCGTCAGACAAACTGATTAATGTTTTAAAAAATTAGGGTTTATATAGATTGCGTGTATTGGTGTTATTGTGGAAGTGGTGGGGGAAATTTCGTCGTTTTGTTGAGCGCTTTCTAATAAGTACCGCGCATATAATATATAAATAATTATACATATATATATTTGTTTATATTTTATATTTTCACACACACACACACACACATATATATATATATATATATATATATATATATATATATATATATATATAAATAAATAAACAGGCAATGAAAGCCTATTATCTGATCATGAGGCGTTCTAATGTTTGAATGTTTGCTCTAATTTCTGGTGAAAATAAAGACAAAAATTGTTCAACATTTGGATATTTTTTTATTAAGTAGGTCCTAAAATTTTGGCCCACATGGACCGTCCTCAGAGTAGGTTATACAGACAGGAAACAAAGATATCCACCGCCAAAAATGATATTTTGTTATGTTGACATAGAAGATTGTTACGTAACGAATACGGGTGCGGTTCTATGACGTCATACCAAGCGATAGACCGAAATATTACAATAGAACCATTATTTATAGATGCAATATAATGACTTTGACTAGTTTTAAATGTAATTTTATTGAGAGTGGGTTGCTTTGTTTTAATGTAGATGGTCTCCAATAATTGAAGGTTCTTTTTACTGTGTGTAAGTGTGAGTATTATTGGGTTATCAGGTAATATCTGTCTAATATTATCTACATGGCTATATATATATATATATATATATATATATATATATATATATATATATACTCACAATGTTTAATTATAGGCATTGTCAACACAGTAGTGTGAAAAATAAAACCCCTAGCCTGTTTGCACTTCTGTCTAAAATTTGGTTTCGATTGGTTAATTTTAAAGGGTGTGACGCACGGACGGACTAACGGAAGTCACATAATTTTATATATAGATTTCTTTTCAGCTTGACAACTGTTTACTGGACACAGAAAAACAGCAACTTGAATAAAATAGTTGACTAAATCGAATTGATAAACACACTTAGGGTGACTCCAATCTAGTAATGTACTGAATGTTTTTTTCTGTCTCTTAGCATTTGTTTCTATTATATTGTTAAAATCAGCTCTTTCTTTATTAGTAACGCTATATATATATATATATATATATATATATATATATATATATATATATATATATATATACATTAAGAAATGGACAAAGTCCGACAATTTATTAAAGACATTTACTTAAATACTTGTATCTATAAAAGAATGTTAAACATAAAGATGTCTTTATATATATATATATATATATATATATATATATATATATATATATATATATATATATATACATACATACATATATATATATATATATACATATATATATATATATACATACATATATATATATATATATACATACATATATATATATATATACATATATATATATATATATACATTTATATATATATATATATATATATATATATATATATATATATATATATACATATATATATATATCCATAGATACATAAATATATATATATATTTACAAACATAAACATATATATATATATATATATATATATATATATATATGTGTGTGTGTGTGTGTGTGTGTGTGAAAAAAATATATAGAAAATAGGAAAGTTCTTTAGTATTTTTGTTATTATTTTTAAAAAATAGTGCTCGATACAAACGTAGAGCATAAATATATTTATTTATTTAAAAATATGATTCCAACACGCTACATAAGAGTTCTCATGTTTTAAAACAGGAGCCGGAAACTTCAATATAATTATTTGAATTAAATTGAATTAAAGTACTAAGCTCCGTTCCATCTTCAAGCGAAATTTTTTTTTTGAAATTGATACCGAGTAGAAATTAATACCGAGTTGAAATTAATACCGAGTTGAAATTAATACCGAGTTGAAATTAGTTCTGTCACTCATTTTTAGGAACCTCCACATATTCGCGATGCCTAAAGATTAAAATGAATTTTTAAAAATGAAAAATCTTTCTTGAATTTTTTATTCTAGTTTTGATTTCAAGTTAATAAAATAAATTTAATCTTTCTTATAAGCAAAATACGTTACTATATTTCAAAGACTAATTTTAATTAACTGGAAGAAAGTTTTTTTTTTTTTGCTAAAAAAATTTATTTTAGCGTCATTATTCATCGAAAAAAATTTCTTAAGACAATAATGTCCTTAATTTATCATTTCCATAAAAGCAATTAAAAGCTTTTCTAATTAAATAATGTCTTAGTTTTATTGCGTTTTTTTAATTTTACGATTCAGAGCAGATTTTCGGGAAATGGTGTGTCTGTTTGACAAAAACAAATTGATGACTTTTATATACATAAATATGAAGTGAGTGGAATTTTAATTTCTCGAAATTTCATAAAATTAAGTTAGGGTAACAGATGTTAAAAAAATTTAACAAGATTTTCTAAAAAATATTCAAAAATAATTTAATTAATTTGCGAATAAGTCCTGAAACATTCAAAGTACTAGAAATTGGCCTGGAAACTCTCCCGATTTAAATCCAATCGAGAATCTGTGGTCAATCTGCAAGGAACGACTTCGTGAAATGGAAATACAAAGTACTAACATGTGCACTGGGTCATATTTCATTGGAAAAATATGAAAAAAAAGAAGTAAATATTAAGGGAATTATTTGTTTTGTTTCAATTAATTTGCACAAGGGTGTACTTGATTTTAGTGTCTCCAGTTTGTAGGTCGATTCATGTGCTGTTCCTTGTACTAGCAACCATACATTCCGTCTTCTTACAAATGATGCTTAGTCCTTTCTTCACCCTTTCCTTTATTGCCTTCTGTAGGAGTTCCCATAGCTTCTTTTCTGTGCCTGTTATCAACACTGTATCATCTCCATATCTTATGTTGGTAAGATTGTGGCCAAAAATAATAAATCGTGGTAGAATTTCTAATTCTCTCAGAATCATCACCCAGAGCCTTTTTCTTTTTTCTTTTGCTAAAAAAAATTGATTTTAGCGTCATTATTCATCGAAAAAAATTTCTTAAGACAATAATGTCCTTAATTTATCATTTTCATAAAAGCAATTAAAAGCTTTTCTAATTAAATAATGTCTTAGTTTTATTGCGTCCTTTTAATTTTACGATTCAGAGCTGATTTTCAGTAAGACGGGGTCCGATTTTACAAAAATAAATTAATGATTTAAGTTCGCCCGCGTTTATTGAAATGTAATTGTTTAAAAAATAAAATATATTTTTCTGAAACTTTATTTGAAGAATATTAGTTGATTTAAAATATAATTAATCGGATTTTAAACAAATATTATTTTTTTTAAGTTTAAAATTTCGCAGAAATTCATTTGTTTTAACACGTCGGTAGCTGTTTATTTAATGTGTTGACAACATGATGACAGATTGATGTTTATCTAATTTTGTTCTACGGGGGCTTTATCCATAGAAATAATTAAAGAAAATAATGTGAGCGCTTTTTATTATATTATTTTTAATTACTCAGTAATCTAAAAATTTAGGAAAATATTCTCCGTAACTAATGTTTTATTGTATTTTAAATGCTTTGGCTTTAAATTTGCTATAGTTATCGCTCTTATTTTTTGATAATGTCATGTACGAACATCCGTATCGACTAAAATCAGCACATTTATACACATACAACGTTTTAAAAACCTTTAAAAAAACTGGAATACCTGAGATTGTAATAAGCTTTACGATTTATGATTAGTAAATGTAAGTTTAATTAATACCAATATTCCCTATCCATTACCCCATTGAAACTGAATTTTAAAAGATTTAAAAACTCCATAATTCATTCTAATTAAAGATAACATGCTATTTGAAAAAAAACGAAAACAAACCTTGTAAAAATTCATTATTCATCGAAAAAAAATTTTTAAGACAATAATGTCCTTAATTTATCTTCTTCATAAAAGCAATTAAAAGCTTTTCTAATTAAATAATATTTTATTTTTGTTGCGTTTTTTACTTTACGATTCAGAGCTGATTTTCAATAACGCGGTCCGATTTTTAAAAAAATAAATTGATGATTTAAATTCTCCAAGGACTTCTGCCTTTTACTAGCAAAGTGACTATAAATTATCTCGTTGAATTTATCGAGTTTTCATAAAATTAATAAGTAAAAAAAATATTTTTACCAAGATTTTCTAAAACATTTCTAAAATAATTTAAGTCATTTCTGAATAAGTCCTGAAAGAACAATTGAAATCCGCCAAGTATTTTATTTTTGCAAGAACTTTCAAATCAATGTGTCTTTCACAGACGCTAAAATTTGCTACGTTATTTTATAGTCCAAACGACGACGCAAAAGAAAACCAAGGATTTTGACCAAAATTTCGAATGTTCTAAAATGGATTACAAATTTAATTTAATAATCGAAAAACATACTTTGGTCTTTTCTCTTAATAATAAAATAAAGATTTTGAAGATATAATCTAGTTTTTAGCAAGTTTGGAGCATCTTTCATTATAGTATGCTCTTTTTTTAAGCCATTTTATGGAGGTACCTACTTAAATTTGTATTTAAAAATGACTTTTATTTTTAGACAGTCGCGTATAATACGATGTTAACGCGTAATATCTAGCCACCTAAGAAATTTAATGACTGAATTTTCGGCTTTCAGTTCTGTTACATATCTTTTGCAAAGCAATAGGCGTGCGCCAATATCGTTTCGTAGCCCCACCCACATCTGCTTCGGAATCTTCACCCATGGGGGCAATCTCGCCGAGACTGGATTACAGCAAAAGCACCTGTTTGTCTTCAATGGTGATGTTAATTTCTTTCTAAATATGGTAAGACTCAGAACGAGGCCGTTGATATTTGATTTGTGTCCAGTCTCCTGATGGATATTTGTTCGTTGAATGCGCGCGTAATATCATTAGGTTCAAATTAAGCTATTCGGCTGGCATGTGTCTGCCATCTTTCTTTTCGCAGTCGGTCTCCCCCATGAATTCGGCTCCCTCACCCCCATCACGCCGATCTACCAAGGCTGGGAGTGGGGATAAGAGTGTGCGAGAAGGAAGTCGGTGCGAATCAGTGGCCAGAACCAAATCTAATCCATTTCCCGCGTTCCAGTCGTTTTTGCTTCCTTCCTAGCCTACGCCTCATTTTGAATGGTTTATGGCCGACCACTTTTACCCAATTCCTCAAAGACCGGTCGTCATATTTCTCTTTCGGCCCCTGGCATCCGACGCTGCTGTCTGTCCGATCGTAGCAGCGGGACTCATCGATCAATCAGCGGGACCCTTTTTCACATTGGCGAGAAAAAGAAGAACTAAAAGACGTCAAATCTTTAGAGAGAGTGAAAGTGAGAGAGATTGAGAGAGAGAAAGAAAGAAAGAACGAGAGAAAGTAACTCCGAAAAAAATGCTCCTAAACAATCAGTTTTCGACGAAATCACAAACGGAATGAAAACCAAAAGAAAATATTTCAAAAGTTATTCACATCATCTTCATAATTAAGTGCAAACATCTACTTCGATGTGCCGTGTCTTTTGAGAAATTGGGCGTTCATGGCTCCTACACAGCCTCCCCTCCTTTGTAGCCCTTAGTAAATTTTGTCTTTTTTTTGTATAATGCAAATCACAAGACATTGCAAACATCATGGAAGAGCTGAATGCAAAAAATTTATTATAACAGATAGTCCTTTCTTCTCTATTTTTTTCAATTTTCCTGCAGTTTTTTTTTCGGTGCCTTTCATCAAGACGGTAACAACATTGTGTTTTTTCTTCTTTCTTTTTATGAGCCATGTCCTTTCAGGACGTAGGCGATCATGGCTCTCCACTCCCCCTGTCTCTTGTAGCTCTCAATAAGTTCCTTCTCTCTGCTACCTCCCCTAGACCACGTTTGTCATCCACTTGCTTAAGCCAGCCGGGTATGTCACGTGTTGTTTTCCCTTGTCTCTCTTTCCCGTGAGTATCAGATTCTCCAGGCCCTCCTTCCTCATGATATGTCCCAGAAACTTCGGCTATCCCTTCCTGATATTAAGTATAAGCCTCCTCCTTGTTTGCAACCTCTCAAAGACCTCATCGTTGCTCACACGATCGGTCCTTAGCATCCTTCTGTAGAAACACATCTCTGTCGCCTCGAATCTCTTCATCTTTGAGGAAATCGTCCAACATTCGCTGTCGTAAAGGAGGACATATGTCACGTAATAGCTCAGTGTTCTTTTCTTTGTTACCAAAGAAATCCTACGGTTTCGCAATATTCTGCCCAGCTTTTTGGAATGCCATCCCAATACGTCTAAGGATCACAGCGTCGCACATACCGTCCGCTATCAAGATGCTCCCCAGATAATTAATCTTCCGCGTCTGCTTGATTCTAGTGTTCCCGAAAATCGCATTTCGGGTTCATCCTTTTATAGGACTATTAGTTCTCTTAAGGAACAAGATAGTGATGGTGATATTTGGCAAATTTGGTCTAGGAACTCTTAACAAACGTGAGGAAAAATGAGTCTAATAGTGCACGGCGGACGATCAGGTAATGACTAACGCCTGGTTTCAAGAACACCTAAGACATATTTGGACATGAAGAATCCCAACAGGAAAAACGAAGAAAAAAATCGACTTCATAACGAACGATAAGAGATTCCGGAATTCAATTTTATAAATTACAAAACACTCAACCTATTTACATGAGTATTCACTTTCTTGTAATATTATTCAAAACGCATATATATATATATATATATATATATATATATATATATATATATATATATTCATATATATATTCATTCTTGATTCTCCAGGCCCTCCTTCTTCATCATATGTCCCAGGAACTTCAGCCACCTCTTCCTAATGTTAAATATAAGCCTCCTCCTTGTTTGCAACCTCTCAAAGACTCACAGTGAATGTCATTGTGACAGTCTCACTTTTTAAAACTTTACTCCCTGATGCTGTAGCCTAACATATCATACAATTTGGGAATCAGGCTGATTCCATGAGCAAATTAAAAACATTTCGGGTCGGATTCGAACCCGCAATTCTGAAATTTTGGATTCTCAAATTTTCGTTACTACAATTGTTTTCGGCGATTTTTTAAGCGATTATATGTGACGATTTATTTTGTTTTTGTACTATTTTTATAACATGGAAATAAGTTTGGGAATAATCGAAATTAACTGCGAAATCCAGCGAATGTCACCCATGAAAGAAAAATAATTGCTTGTACGAAAAGTAAGAACCTACGTACATCAAGTTGTCTTTAAATTAAATGGCGATAGAAGAATTATCGTTGAACTTTTAAAAGGCAAGCTCAAATATTAATGCAATAGTTAAATGCAACGATCACTTTTGAGTTATTCCGTAGTTTATTGTTGCCTATTGCATACGGTAGTATTATGTCTCGCAAAAAGAAATTTCCCCCAACAGGGGGCCAGATTGCAATCAAAAGAGCCAAGGCTGCAGCAAGGAAAAGAAAGTCGCGTGCAAATGAAAACCCAGATCAAAATGGCAACCAGGAAAGTTAACGCTAAGAGTAGGGACTCTGAAACTCCGAAACAAGCTGAAGATCCAATCAAAAACCCTTAAGAAGAGCTAACTTAAATGCTGCCCAATAGAGTGGCTTTTCAACCTGTTTCTGATATATACTAATGTACTAAATGGGTGGAGATGGATCAAGTAAAAGGGATCAGATTTGGTTCATTCAGATTTCTTTTTGCGCCAAGGGGAGATAATTCTATTTCTGAGAATGATAGGAAATATTCTAGGCTCTTATGTTTGGCTATGATGGCCCCTAACAGTAGGTCAAGCATAGAAATAAATAACAGATGGGAGCCGTTAATAATTAAATAAAAAAAATGATTTCCGTAGCAGCGGTTGGAAATTTTCAAAGGAAAGCTTAAATATTAATGAAATACTTAAATGCAGCGATCAATTTTGAGTTCTTCTGTAGTTTATTGTTACCTATCGCATACGGTAGCAGTATGTCTCGCAAAAAGGAATCTCTGCCAACAGGCGACCAGATTGCAATCAAAAGAGCCACTGCTGCAGCGAGGAAAAGATAGTCGCGTGCAAATGAAAACCCAGATCAAAACGGAAGCCAGGAGAGCTAATGCTCTGAATAGGGACTCTGAAACAAGCCGAAGGCCCAATCAAAAGCCCTTCGCAGGAGCTAACTTAAATGCCGCCCGATAGGGTGGCTTTTAAGCTTGTTTCAGATATATACTAATGTATACTAATACACTAAATGGGGTTTATTATTTACTAATTAAATAATTTGTTTTCATAATTGATCTTTTAGTAATCATGGGGCTTATTCTCGAAAATATGATATAATAATTGTTTTTTTCAACAGAAAGACAAATTATTTGATGACACTTCAAGCATAGAAATAAATAATATATGGGGACCGTTAATAATTAAATAAAAAAATGATTTCAGTAGCAATTGTTGAACTGATCAATTAATCTTGATATATCTAGGAACGATATTAGAATAATCAAGAACGTATACTGGCAGCAAACGTCTGAATACGGAGCGAAAATGAGTTCAGCAGATATACAAAAATAGAAAGGGGTGTAAGACAAGGGTGCGTTTTCTCAAATGGACTTATTCAACCTATACAACGAGGCGATTCTGAGAGAACTAGAAGTCCTAGCAGGATTCATTACTGGCGCTTATAATCTTAACACCATAAAGCATACTGATGACCCAGTGCTGGTAGCAGATACGGAAAGAAAGTTAAAAAAGCTCCCACAGAAGGTAGTGAAGGAAAACGAGAAAAAGGATTAAACCTAAACTGCAAGAAAACAGAATGCATGGAAAAGAAAACAAAGGTGCGAATTACAAATCGGAGATTGCAAAATCAAACAAGTGTGGAAATTTAGATATCTGGGAAGTGTTTAACCGAAGACGGAAAATGAGACATTGAAATTGGGATAGCGAAAGAGGCACTATAAAAACTAAGCAGAGTATAAACAAATAGAAAAACTTCGCTAGAAACAAGGAAAAGAATACTAAACTGTTACGTGATATCTGTCTTCCTGTGTGGAAGTGAATGCTGGACAATCTCCTCAAAGATTAAAAGGAGACTTGCAACAATATGGTTCTACAGAGAACTAAAAGTCTTTCCAGGATTCATTATTGGTGACCACAATTTTAACGACATAAGGTATACGGATGACACAGTGCTGATAGCAGACACGGAAAGAAAGTTATAAAAACTCCCACAGAAGCTAGTGAAGGAAAGCAAAAAGAAAAGATTAAACCGAATCAGTAAGATGACAGAATGCATGGTCCGTAGCAAAAGGATGAGGCCAAAGTGAGAATTGCAAGTCAGAAATACCATAATCAAACAAATGCGGAAATGTAAATATCTGGGAAATGTTTGAACAGAGGACGGAAGATGTATTGGGATAGCCAAGGAAACTTGAGCATATTACAAAGATATAGAAAACTTTATACCGTCATGTATGGCAGTGAGGGCTGGATGAGAAAATAGAAACAAAATGCAAACTAATACTTACCAGGAAGAGACAGTTGAGGTTTCTGGGGAATCTAACGAGAAAGGAGGGCATGGAAAATCTGATACGCACAGGACAGATAGAAGGTAAGCGGGAAAGAGAAAAACGACGCAAAACATTATTAGTGAGATTGAGAAAATGAATCGCGGAACAGGCTTTAGGAGAAATAAATGAAAGACAAAGTTTATTAAGATTTACAAGGGACAGGAAGTTGTGGAGGGCCATGATCACCTACACCCTGAAAGACATGGCACATAGAAGAAGAAGAAGAAGACGACGACGACGACGAAGAGTCTCGGTAAATGGATTACAAAACAGAGTTTAGAAGAAATAACATAAAGACAAAATTTATTACGAGTTACGTATGACAGAAAAGTGTGGAGAGCCATGATCGTCGATGTTCTGAAGGGACATGGTACGTAGAAGAAAAAGAACGTACCTTAGCAGATCAGGGTTTAGGAGAAAGAAAAAGGTTATTAAGAGCTTTTTTCTGTAATGAGGCATTTAGTTTTTTTTCTGCATATAAGACTTAAACAAGTCTTAGAAGCTAATGTTTCGGAAACGAAGCCTAAAAAACTTTCTAATTTATTTTGAAAATGAATGGCAATAAATGATTTTAGACAAATATCGCCTCTCATCTCAATAACAGTGTCATCGATTAAAGACAAGAGATCAAATTTAGCCTTCTGTTTAGTTCCTAGTTATAGCAAATATTGGGGACGTTGAATTTCTCACCTATAGCACCGTGGATGCTAATTTACTGATTCTATGACTAGAGCTTATATCGATATTAACAGATAGTGGCGGAATGGTCAGGCTGTCAGCTTGCCCGATGGAAAGTAGGTCCTCATATATCAAATAAAAATGTAATAAAGAAACAAACACACACAACAGTTTTAGTAATAAGAAGGTATAAGAATTTTATAAAGTCGTCTGCACACTATCAATTACTCAAGTTCATTGTCAAAGGATATTTTCAAAGATAAAGATCATAAAGACAAGATTAAGGAATTCGCTGTCTGAGAAGAATTTGGCATTATACATGTTGCTGTGTTTTAAAAAAGGAATTGTTAGATGAATTGGACGAAAAAGCAATTATTGACAGATTCGAACAATTTTCTAGTGAATACAAACGAATTTTTTTAATATAATGAACTGCAATGCTATTGTGCTTTTGAATTATTTGTTTATGTGTAAATTGTTCAAGTAAAAACGCCAACAAATTACTTAAAAGTAATAAGAAAATACACACAATAACAATTCCCATATTTGTATTCCATTAGTAATAACAATGGTAGACTGACCCGATGGCATATAGGCCCCTGATGGAATTGTCCTATATTGAATAAAAATGCTATAAAGAAATACAGCTGTTTTAGTAATAAAAAACAATACGAACTTTATAATGTCGTCGACACACTATCAGTTACTCAAGTTCAATATGAGAGGACATTTTCAAAGATAAAGATCACAAAGACAAGGTTAAGAAATTCGCTGTCTGAGGAGAATTTGGAATCAGACATGTTGCTATCCATTGAAAATGAATTGTTAGATAAATTGGACGAAAAAGCAATTCTTGGCAGATCTGGACAATCATCTAGAGAACACAACGATTTCTCTTAATCAACTGCAAAGATTTAATGTGCATTTAAACTAGGCATCAATGCATACCTTGTGCAGCAAATTATTAAAAGCTATAAAGAAATTGCTTAAAATTAAAAAAAAAAATTAAATTGTACTTACATTTGTACTTCTTAACATATTTGTACTTCTCTACTTAGATTTGCTAGTAATATGTACAGTATGTATCATCATCATCATCATCATCATCCCCTTGACTTTTGTAATCGTAGTTGAGATCCGAAAGCAGAAGCCATATTGAATCTCCTCCACAACGGTCTATCAACGGCAGCCATTGGGCACCTCGAGACGGTGTAATGGTTAGCAAGCTTGGTTCGCTAGAACAATTACGACTGAATAGTGAGTTCGATCCTCACAGAGTGCTCCCTAATTTCGGCCTTGTACCACATCTAAGCTACGCTTGGAAAATCACTGTCAACGGCAGCCATCAGCAATTCTAGCACAGTCATACCTGTCCATTGTCCAAATAGTTTTTGTGTTGGCGTCCTCTCCTCCGCCCACCTTCAGCAGTGCTTTGCATTATGGTCTTGCACAGGCTGTCGTGCCTTGTAATGTGTCCAAACCACGCCATTTTTCTCCAGGGACGAGAAGAGATCCCTGGTGGCCCCAAAAAACTTTCAACCCTTTTCCGCACAAACTTATTGGCTTTATGTTCCATTATGTGCCAAGGAGTTTTCTCATACATACATTTCTTCTCAAACGCTTGTATCCTTCTCTTTGTATCCGCCAAAAGTGTCCATGTTTCACATCCTTATAAGAGAATGTATTTTTTTTTATAAATATTTAATCGTTATGACAATTAAATGATAGCATGGTAATTTGGGAAGGCCCGATTTGACTTTTGACAAACAATATTTTTAGATCAGGTCCTCAACTGGCGACGTTCCGACGTGGTAAAAAAGTTGCCGAAGAATTACGTCACAATTGAAACAACAAAATGAAACTATGGAGATGTGCTTCTACTGATATAAAAGATAAAATGGACAAAATTCTATTTTAGCATAATAACTACAATTAAAGAGTTCGTAACAATCAGAAAGAGACAATTAATGTTATTTGGAAGAAATGATGAGAAAAGAACATTTGAAGACTTAAACACCGATGGGCAGATCGAACAAAGAACTAGGCAAAAACAATATGCCATTTTGGACATTTTAAACTAGTATATTTATATATTTAAAAGATTCAATTGGCCTGAAAACCTTCTAATAATAAAAATATGCCATCATTTTGGACGGCCTGGTTAAACTTTATTTATATATTTAAAGACTCATATGAAAATCTTCTAATAATAGTAAGGACTTAACAAAATATGCCATCATTTTTGGACGGCCTGGGTAAACTAGTATATTTATATATTTAAAAATTCAATAAAACCTTCTAATAATAGTAAGGACCTAACAAAATATGCCATCATTTTGACGGCCTGGGTAAACTAATATATGAATATCTTAACAAAATATGCCATCATTTTGGACGGCCTTGTTATTCAAACTATATATTTATATATTTAAAGAATCACATGTGAAAACCTTCTAATAATAGAAGACTTAACAAAATATGCCATCATTTTGGACGGCCTGGTTAAACTTACACATGTGAGTTGAATAATATAAGGACTTAACAAAATATGCCATCATTTTTGGGTAAACTAGTAAATATATTTTCACATGTGAAAATAATAATCTTAACAAAATATGCCATCATTTTGGACCCTGGGTATATTTATATATTTAAAGACTCACATGTGGAAATTTCTAATAATAGTAAGGACTTAACAAAATAATATTTTTTATATATTTAAAGACTCATGTGAAAATCTTCTAATAATAGTAAGGACTTAACAAAATATGCCATCATTTGGAAAGGCCTGGGTAAACTAGTATATTTGTTGTATTTAAAGACTCACATGTGAAAATCTTCTAATAATAGTAAGGACTTAACAAAATATGCCATTTTTGGACGGCCTGGATTAAACTAATATATTTAATATTTAAAGACTCATATGTGAAAACCTTCTAATAATAGTAGGACTTAACAAAATATGCCATCATTTTGGACGGCCTGGATTAAACTAGTTTTATATATTTAAAGACTCACATGGAAAATCTTCTAATAGTAAGGACTTAACAAAATATGCCATCATTTTGGACGGCCTGGTTAAACTAGTATATTTATATATTTAAAGACTCATGTGAAAATCTTCTAATAATAGTAAGGACTTAACAAAATATGCCATCATTTTGGACGGCCTGGATTAAACTAATAAAAAAATAAATGTACATTTATATATTTAAAGACTCACATGAAAATCTTCTAATAATAGTAAGGACTTAACAAAATATGCCATCATTTTTGGACGGCCTGGAGTAAACTAATATATTTATATATTTAAACACTCATGTAAAAATCTTCTAATAATAGTAAGGACTTAACAAAATATGCCATCATTTTGGACGGCCTAGGTAACTAGTATTTTGTATATTTAAAGACTCACATGTAAAAACCTTCTAATAATAGTAAAGGACTTAACAAAATATGCCATCATTTTGGACGGCCTGGTTAAACAAGACTCAAAATAATAGTAAGGACTTAACAAAATATGCCATCATTTTGGACGGCCTGGTTAAACTAGATTTATATATTTAAAGACTCGTATGTGCCTTAACAAAATATGCCATCATTTTGGACGAACTCATATGTGAAAACCTTCTAATAATAAAAGGACTTAACAAAATATGCCATCATTTTGGACGGCCTGGTTAAACTAGTAAATATATTTAAAGATTCAATTGCCCTTCTAATAATAGTAAGGACTTAACAAAATATTAATCATTTTTGGACAACCTGGGTAAACTACATATTTATATATTTAAAAAGATTCAATTGTGAAAACTTTCTAATAATAGTAAGGACTTAACAAAATATGCCATCATTTGGACGGCTTGGGTAAATTATTATATTTATATATTTAAATTTACATGTAAAACCTTTTAATAATATAAAGACTTAAAGAAACAGTAATTTATATTTTTAAAGACTCATATGTGAAAATCTTCTAATAATAGTAAGGACTTAAAATATGCCATCATTTTGGACGGCCTGGGTAAACTAGTATATTTATATATTTAAAGTCTAACATATGAATATCATATTATATCTTATTCTTTCGGAAGAAGTAAGAAGTCATTCGAGTTTACAGTTGAATAAAATGGTGAGACATTTTTGAAATATTTTTCAAGGAAATATTCTCTTCTGCCCGGAGAATTCTTATGTCGGAAATTTTCATATTTTCTTCTGAAGCACAAAGATAAGATTTGACTGAAAGGAGTTAGGTTGACAATATGGCGGCCGCTAGACATTGTTACGGGTTCGTAATGATAAAAATAAATGAAAGTCCACATGTAACACTCATATTCAATATAACTCAAGCAAACTGCCTAACGGGTCTGTCCGATGAGCCAGAACTTGGATCATTAACTACAAAGATGAATGCAGTTCTCTAAAATATTCTAGCCCAAAGGTTTATTAAATCAACCAAACACAAGTAAACGAGAAATACACATTTCGAAACACTATATAAAGACATAATATATTTTCTGTAAATATTTCTATTCTGTGTTACTGGCATTGTATGCTTTGGCAATGCTGGATTCTTGCAAGATGCTTATGAATTAAAAGAACGATTTCATGAAAAAGATGTCAATAA